ACCAAATAATGTTCTTTTTAGCAGCATCATATGACCCCTTTAATCTTCTAAAATCCAAAAGAGGGCTACTTTTGGAGACGCTGAACAATTAAGGTTCTCTGAAAATGAGAATGTCAGCATTACTTTGTAAATATTTATTAGGTTTGACAGCTTGGGAACCATTTTTCTTAAGGGTGTTTGATGCTTGTGACCGATCATAGACCCCATAGTCGACCACTAACATCTTGTCTAAAGTTACTAACTATTGTGTTTACTCAACTAATTTCCTGAAACCACAGTAATGATTACGATGAGAGATGTTTTAATCTGTTTCGTCCTGTTACGTCTGGTGTGCACTTTATAGACAAATCACACGAGCAAGAAAGCATAAGTGACCGACGTCATTATTCAAGCATTTTGCCTGTGAAAACAACAAAAGCTTATAGCACCTCTGAACTCATGCTCTCCAACAGCCATACCAAAAATCATTACGTTTATCCTCAAATATGTTATTCTGAATTAAGAGAATTTCCGATGCCTTGATCCCATGTGTTTACAATGTGACAACAGGGGGAGGATCAGTAGCGGCTGACCTTGGCCACTGCACAAAGTAATATAATTTTCCCTCATGTGCGCAAACATTTTAGAGCGATGTTGTTTATGAGTTCGCAAGGCATCTTTTCCTGGTAGATAGTCAGATCTGTTTCCTTAAGACTTCACTTCAAATGAAAATCATGGAAATGAGTCATAGTGCCAGTGACAGTTTGTCATGACACATCTTGACAGGTGCATAACAGGATGTACACTATAGTGTTCATACATCATCATACAGTAGCCTATAAACAAAGATGATGTTGAGATGTATAGGTATCATGATAAAACATTGAACAACATATTCAGGCTAATTTTAATTTTTGTGACTAATATGTATAGGTGCCTTAAAGACTAAATAGTCAAACATAGCTACAGCTTGTATCAAAGCAGGTTCTGCCGTAATTAGGCCTGACATGCAGGAAGCAGCAGCTAAGCCTAGGTGTCAGAACTCACGTGTGTCCTGGACAAACTGCTACTGTGGTTCAGTTATTGCGCAGTACCTTAATATATTCATGCTCAGAAGATTGTCTTTTTAACAGCCTTTACATTTTGTGGAAAAAACAACTAGGCCTATTTGTTTATCTTAGTTGCTGTCTTTTATGTCCAGAAATCATGAATATCTTAAAGAATATTTGTATATGATTTCTCTTGGAAATCTTGCAGTGCTTTGCATTCTGGCTCCACATCTTTAGGGAGGTTCCTTAACTCAGGAAAGACCAAGAAGGAGGAGGCCAGGGTGTGAACTCTACGAGGGTCTTACGGCACATGACTCAGAAGAAAGACAATCTTATGTCCCCACTAGGGTTGCCAACCGTTCCGTATGATACGGAATCGTCCCGTATTTAAGGCATCAAAGAAGCGTTCCGTATGAAAGCTATACGGAACGCAGTTTGTCCCGTATTTAAGGCATATGCCGTATGAACACCTAGACCATACGAATAACAAACTCTAAATTGAGAATTAATCATTCTTTTTTGACAAGTGTTTGATTTGTGAACATAGCCGTTCCAGGGAGGCTTTAAGACCAAGCGCAATCCTCTGCCGGCTGGTTGCTCCTGCTTCACAGTGAGCGGGACCCACGCCGGAGTTGGGTTTTTTAACGACCGCGTCTCGACTTCAGCAAATCAGTTTGAGCGAATGCAAACAACGTGATTCCAACATCCAGCCACGCAAGAAAACGTGCACTTTACCTGAGGGAAGACGTGATCAATAAGGAAAGTCGTATTTCTCTAATGTATAGGCTACACCTAGATAAAACAATGTAACTTCCAGCGTATTCTTAACCTTGAATATCATTCTTAAAACACACAATGACCAATGAAGTGCCAAGCACCCAAAGCAGGCCATATTTATTCTAAGTTATCTTTAATTGAAAAATATGCATTTTCATATACTGTAGTAGGCCTACTGTAGGCTATATTACACACACGCATCAGAAGACAGAAAGAGCTTTATTGCCAAGTATGTTTGCACATACAAGGAATTTGTTTGTGTCACAAGCTTCCAGTACACAGAGACAACAACAACACACAGATAATAAAATAAGATGTGAATAAAATACACATGTATAAATATAAATAAAGCACACACACACACAAAGGATAAATATGTACAGGTGTGCTATAGATAAAATACTGTAGAATATGAATAGAATAAAAAATAAAGTTGTAGGGATGTACTAGGATGTAAAGAGATAAATAGTATAAGGTTATTGCACATATTTGTATTGCACAATGGGAGAATATTTAACTGTTCATGAGGTAGATTGCCTATAGCCTATATATATACACTGCCGTTCAAAAGTTTGGGATCAGTAAGATTTTTAATGTTTTTTTTTAAAGAGGTTCTTATGCTCATCAAGCCTGCGTAGATTTGATCAAAAATACAGAAAGAAAACTGTAATTTTGTGAAATAGCCTATTATTGCAATTTAACAAAACAGTTTTCTATTTTAATATACTTTAAAGTATAATTCAAAAAGTTAAAAAGAACCGTATTTATTCAAAATAAATATTTTGTGTTAAATATAGCCTATACAACTATTCCAAAAAAAAAGTTAAATGGATAAAAAGTGATATTGTTAGAATAGATTTCTATTTTGAATAAATTCTGTTCTTTTTAACTTTTTATTTTGTTTATGGAACACGGGTTCCAAAAAATATTAAGCAGCACAACAGTTTCAACTGATAATAAATCAGAATAAGAAAGATTTATATAAGGATCATTTGACACTGAGGACTGGAGTAATGATGCTGAAAATTCAGTGCTGCGTCACAGAAATAAATTATATTTTAAAGTATAAAAAGATAGGAAAACAAAATTCAAAATTGAGCATAAGAGACTCCATTAAAAAAAAAAACATTACAAATCTAAAAGATATACCTGTGTGTGTGTGTGTGTGTGTGTGTATATATATATAAATTAGGCCTGTGTGTGTATCCCTTATTCTGTCCCTTATTTTTCTATGAAAAACCACGATTGTCCCTTATTTTCCTTTTCTGAAGTTGGCAGCCCTAGTCCCCACTCACCCATCCGCTCAGCCAAACCTCTTATGACACACAGACAGATGGTAAGACCGCAAGTTCACCCTTGAGTAGCATTCGCAGAAAGACTCTCTTGGATGAAACAGCATCTCTACCCTTGCAATTTCCAGAAAATATGTTGTAACCAGGGTTGGGATATCTACAAGCTGCAGTTTCTGATAAGAATGACATTAGCAGGTGACTAGCCTTGAGTGGTTCGCTTTTTGTTTGTGGCCATTATTCAGCAGCAAGCTGTTTCCTACTGCTTTGGATATGCTTATTCCCAGAAGTGTTACAGCCTGTGTTCAGGATATTTGTGAACATACAAGCAAACAACTAAATATTTTTACTCTAAGAGAAAAGTTGAGTCACACAGTTTATAAAAATTGACTTGATTCAACAATCAAAAGAGCAGATTTGTGGGCTTGACTCAGCACCGTGCAAGAGACTTGTGATTTTATGTATTAGATTATTGACTTTAAGTAGATGATCAATTGAATTTGTCATTGCTGGCAGAGTCTTGATGAAAATAATGCTGGTTCGGATCCGAACTGTGGCCTCAGGACAGCAATGTGATATGCATTGTTCTAATTAATGTTGAGAGCCATTAATCTATTTCCATCTGGGCCACCCATCAAGTTAACTGGATCATCCCAGATACCCTCCTCTGTTCGTAGCGATAAGGTACTGTAGATATCTGACTGCCTTTTCAAATCACTTACATTACTCAGTTTTTTATGCAAAGAAACTTTCCTAATGGCTAATTTTGACAGAGGAGGTCTTTGGTCCCCCATTGCATGGGACACTCCTGCTTATATTTGGACTAAGGCAGAAATTTTGGGTTTAGTAACCAAAATAACTACTATACCTCCATCCATCTAGCTCACTATCATTGCCAATAGAAGGATGCAATATGTATATTATATACACTACCATTCAAAAGTCTGGGGTCAGTAAGATATTTTTTGTTTTTGAAAGAAATAAAACTTTTATTCAGCAAGGATGCTTTAAATTGATGAAAGTGTCAGTAAAGACATTTATAATGTTACAAAAGATTTCTATTTCAAATTAATGCTGTTCTGCAGTTGAACTTTCTATTCATCGAAGAGTCCTGAAAAAATGTATCATGGTTTCCACAATAAAAATTAAGCAGCAACAATGACAACTTTTCAACAATTTATCGATATTGGCTAGGTATCGAATATTTAATTGTTCATTCTCAGGTCCCCTATTTTTGCATTTAGAATACCTTTGTCATAATCTAACTTCAAGCTCATCTTTAAAAACACTAATAATTTAATAACATTGTTAAATCTATATAATCTTCAGCAAATCTCAAAATGAATGCCCAGTTTTCATACTTTACATTATAATGTAATGATGCTTTCATTAACATATAGCATTTAAAACAACTGATTTTAGATTTGAGTGTTTTGTCTTTAAATTTACTTTAATATTTACTATACAAAATAGCATGCCATTTTAATGTCAGCCATTTATCATTTATCAGCAAATAATCATCCGCTTATATTGGCTAGAATTTTGACATATATGTTTGATTAACAATCAAATACATTAAGTACCTTGTGTCTTCTGAACAGTTTGATTAGGTAAGACTCATACATTCAGCTGTGTTTGTTCATGACATACTGAGGCTGCTTTACTTAATTTTTCTGAGGATCCTGAAAAATGTATCCATATGCTATCAACTATGAGTGTCCTTGAAGGTCTTTCACTTACAATGTGCTAAGTTTGTCTGCTCTTTTATGCAATGGCCATGGCCAAGTTCTAGTCATGTGTCCAAAGCCTCAGCAGATTTTGATGCAGTCTCAGAGTGATTAAGAAGGCTTTTCGTTCTATCCTTAGCTTCCCGATTAGCAGGTAGGCCCCCAGTGGGACAAGTGCTTTTCAGCTGGCAGTTCATAGCAGCTCCTGCTCCTTCTCAACTCTCATTGTGTGGAAACTCAGAAGATGCTTTTCTGAGCTCTTGGTTTTCTCAACGTTGAGATCATGGTTCTTATGATGGTGAGTATTTTGCAGTCCTTTGGGATAGTTTGAGTTTACACTGAAGACTTTCCTGGTTCTTTTGGATCGCAGTTAGTTGAAAATGTAATTAAGACCATTAAGAGTGCTTTTTCACAGTCATTACTTTGACCTTGGCTAAACCTCAGTGGTTTAGAAAATGTCTATGGTAAAAGTAAAGATTCTCTCCAATTTCTGTGCTTCAGTTGGTGTTTTTGATGGTCTTGGTGTTCAGTAGATCTGAATGAAGTGATTACAAGGATATCAACACAGGTGCTTGCAATACTACTGGAGAAACATCATTGCAGTTATCTGGCATGCATTAAAATTATTGTGCCAATCAGAGTTGTAAACTTCTGCCCACATTTACAAAGTTCTGTGGACATCCATGATGCTTAAAACGTCCTTAGCTCAGGTTTGTTTAACATCTTTTTCATATGCATATCTTTTTCATTTCATATTTTTCATATTTTGAGCTTACAGATCCTCTGTATCACAAGAATTTACTTGTTTTGGGTAACAATTGATTTCATATGATTTATATTATTTGTTTACATTCTGTTTTCTTCAAATGTTCTCATCAAAAGCAGATATTGGAACAGGCCTCTGGGTAATTTATTAGAACATCTTTTTTTTCCAGAAAGAAGGATGCAGATTCAGCTTTCCTAGTTCTGTATTTTGTAATCTAAATGACATCAGTAACACTTAAAAATGTAAATTATTAAAGTTTTTTTTTTTTTTTTGCTTTCCTGTAATTGGACATTATGATCATGGGCCATTTTGATCACTATATCATTTTTGCACATATGTATTTTTTTCCCCATTGTGTCCTAGTTTTTGATAACCTTTATTGATTCAACTACCAATATTTATACACGCACACACACACACACACACACGTATACATATACATATATATATATATATATATATATATATATATATATATGACAAAGCTGAATTATCAGCATCATTACTCCAGTCTTCAGTGTCGCATGATCCTTCAGAAGTCATTCTAATATGCTGATTTGGCACTCAATAAACTTTTTCTCATTATTAATGTTGAAAACAGCTGCTTAATATTTTTGTGGAAACTGTAATGGTTTGTTTTTGGTTTTTTTGGGTCAGGTTTCTTTGATTGAATAGAAAGTTCAAAACAAAAGCATTTATTTGAAATATAAATCTTTTTAACATTATAAATATTTTTGCTGTAACGTTTGATCAATTTAATGCCTCCTTCCTGAATTAAAAGTACTGATTTCTTTGCAGAAATCGTACTGACCCCAAATAGTTTTTAACGGTAGTGTATATTAGGGATTATTATGTGCTTTGCAAGACTTAAAGAGTCTGATTTGGTCCTGTTATGCAATAAACCTCTCAGGCTGTATCATTTCCCTGTTTTTGTTACGATAGCTCGAGTGGAAAAAAAGAGCTGGAACTGACCCAGTCAACACGTGAGAACATGCGATGATCACAGTGACATCACACGATCCTCATACTGTGATCCTCACCGTGTGAGTAGTATATGAAATCATTGTGACATCACACGATCCTCATACTGTGATCCTCAC